ACACTCCAGCCTCCACAACCCGGGTGGCTTTCCAGGTCACTGTCTCACGTTTCCTGTTTCCAGGTCACCATTCCACATGGAGATGCACTAAGTTTCCAGGGACAGGAACCACAGCTTCATGCCAGCCACTCAGCCGCCGGCCAGCCATGCCCCATCACACCTCTCCCACCTTAGGAGGAGCACCCTCCCCATGCGTCCTGGGACTCTGATCGTGGGGCCCAGTGGGAAGCCCACTCGTTTGGCCAATCGCGTCCACAGGCCTGTTCTGGAGGCCTTGAGCAGGTCTGCCAGCCCCATGCGAGGACCTGGGCCCCATATGCCTGAGGAAACATGAGGCCTGGGCTAGCCGGTGAGAAACAAGCCAAGCAGCCGGTGTGAGGACTGGCGAGGCCTTGGGGACACACAAAAGGAGTGCTAAGCCGGGTAGGCGCCCTGGTCCCCGAAGGCCGCCCCCGGAGAGGAAAAGGCTGGCCGGGTTGCCTACCAGGCCAGCCCGGGTTCAGGCTCTTCCGCCCCGGGGCAGCGCAATCGTCACAGGTCCAGAGGACAGCAAGATCTGGGGGGGGGGGGGAGTCACAAAAGAAATTTGTTTGCCACCATGCAAAATGGCGGCACTTAAACATCTTTCTGATGCTGATGGTGGCCCTGGTCAGGGAGCCCAGAGCTGCCTTGGCTCTCTGAAGTCCCCACCGCACCCCAAGTTCGGCGATTTGGGAAGATCGAGCAGAGAAGGGACCCCAGACCTCCTCGGTCATCCAGCGGCCCTTCGCCCGCAGCCCTGGGCAGGCTCGATCATCCCCTGTCTCCCCTCCAGGCCTCAAGGCCCGAAGCCCGCGCCAGCAGCCCCTGGCCACTGACCCCTGTTTACAAACACGGCCTGGGGGCGGGGTGGGGCGGCCGGAGCGCGGGCTGGCGGGGTGGGAGGAGGCCGCGCGCCCCGGAGGACGCCACCAGCAGAGAGGGACGAGGAGTTGGTGCAGAGAGCGGCCCGGCAGCTGGAAAGGACAGAACGCCTTGTTTTTGAAACTGTCAATTCCCTCAACCCCTATTGTGAGGGCTTCATGCAAAACATCTCAGGCCTTTTAAAGTAGGAGCTTGTGAGGCCGCCACAGTCTGAAAAGGAGCGAGAGAGGAGCGGGGGCTTAGGGCATGAGCGAAGAATGATAGCTGGGCCCCCCTCTTTTTTTTTTTTTTTAAAGTAAAAAGGGCCTGCCAAACAGGTAAAATGCAGCCCTCCCCCATCTCCTCGATCTGCCCTGCATCCCCAACCCCCAGGCAAGTTTCTAAAATGCCCTTTGGCCTAGGGAGCAAACCAAAACCAAAGCTAGCATTGAAAACAGTTCTTCCTACAGCCAGGGGTAAAGGCTGGGATAGCTAGGGTAACCGGGAGGGCTCACTAAGGTAGATGCCTGGTTCCTCCTTGCCAGTTTCCTGAGGTTAGTTGAGAGAGCCTTTAATTTCTTTCCGTTTCCTACTTTAGCTCTGGGAAATCCCTCTTTTCACATCCTTTTCAGCAGGAAGTTATTTTCAAGGTGAAGCAAAACTCACGTTTTCTTTCTTTTGTGGATGCTAATGCTTTATTTACTTTTTTTAAAAAATTAGGACGATTTTTGTTTTGTTTTCTTTGAAGGTAAAAAATGCTTTTGAGGAATTGTTTCTTCTACATCTCTTCCTATATGCAGACAAAACTACCTTTTCATAGCAGCAGAAAATGCATTCTCAATCCAGTTCTTGTTTGCCTAGAACTCAGGAATTTCTAGACCATTGGAAGTCACCCAGACACGAATAAGATAAAAATCCACACACCAGCCCATCCAGTTTGTGTTATTGCTGTTTAGTGGTGGCTCCTTGTTGTTGATTTTCAAATAAACAACCATTATTGAGATTACTCCACTGTAATCAAGTAAGCCAGTAGAAAGGAACACCCACTCTAAAAAGTAAATAGTTGGGGGGAAAAAGCAAGCAGCACTTTCTACAAAGGCAGATAACCTGACTATGGAAGAGAGTGCCCTCATCTCTTTAAAAATAATTAAATATTCACTTTACAGTCTTCTCAGGAAGTTACTTTTATGTGACACCAAAAATAGGTTTCCCTCAAAAGTCAGAGAAAAAGGCTTTTCCTGTATTTTCCTCATATCTGTGAATGCTGAGCTCATTTAGACACAGGCATCACTGACCCTGTAAGCCATATAGCCCTCTCCCCCTTTTAAAAATTCTATTCCCTGAAAACATTTAAATGTAAAAATGTAATCTAGCAATGGAGGTAACTTTTGTTTTTCTCTCAATAAGGGTTAACTTTTGAATAAATGGGACATTTATAGCAGCTTTGAAAAAAATCTAGATATTGTCATTAATCATAAAACAACCTAAATAAAATAAACTGTACTGAGAATAATTCCCACAGCAGGATGGGAAAACAGCTAAGGGGCTACCAGGAATTGAAAGAATACCTTGTATTTGCAAGTTACTGCATACTATTGATACGCTCTCCTCACAGAAGCCCCAACTCAGGTTTTGCTGTGGTTGGCTGGCTTATGGTAGTACTGTGGGGCAAAAATTGTGTTGACTATTTAATTTCTTTCCTTTTTGATGGTATCACTCTGGAATGTGTCGGCCTCCATACTGCTCATTCTCCAGCTCCTATAAACTGGCACTATTGATTTGCTGAGAGCTGGACCAAGTGTCAAAGCTATAGACTGATATTTTATGTCACAAATTCCATTGAGTGTATTTGTTTTACTCTATGCTTACTCCATCTTACAGTCCTCCCACACCCAAGATCCGTAGACTTTGGATACCTTCTCCATTTATAATTTAGGAACAATGAGTCCATAGCCAATGAGAAAAGTACTGGTCACCACGTAGTAGTCACTGTTCTTGGAACTTTCTCGACTTAGCAGTAATTATAGAGTAGAAATTACAGACTTCAAGTGTGTGTGTCACACCTTTTAACAGATTGATTTTGCAAGTCACTATATTTAAAATTCTGGATTGCCTTCCAAAGAGGCAAAAGAACTCAGACTAAGAAGTCAATTTTGCTTCTGCTCAGCTTTCTGAAGATTCAACATGGTTTAACATGGACTGGTCTTTGGAACTGTGCACAAATATGGATTCAGAGGAACATCCCAAAATCTTTGCTTTGTCCATATCTACTATTCCAATAAAACTCACTGAACCTACATCTGGCAACATTCAGGAATGAAAGGAGGGAGGCAGTTCAAAGCATCTGTTTACTCCATCCAAATGTATTAAGATGCAGGTATTCTTAGCCCCTGTCCTTTATAAGAGGAAAACCACAGCACATATACAGCAATTAGGGCTGAGACCATCCAGAGCTATCTGAAGCATTTATAGACAAAAAGAAAATTTCAAAAGGGAGTAGGAATTAAAAGGTTAAGGGGGAAAAAATAGACTGCATTTCCATGAGAAATAGTGACTTAAATTCACACAGTAAACATTTCATTGGTGTTTTGTTTTGCTTTGTGATTTATGATCTATAGATGCAACTTCTTCAATTCAAGATAGCAAAGAGCTGAGATACATAAATTGTCAGATGAAGGGGAGTGGATAAAAAATTATTAAATTCAACGTTCATTAAAATAACAAGGGATCACTGTTCCACTTTGTGAAATCTGAAACTTTTAGTATTTGATGGGCCACAAGTTTGTGAAGTTTTCTTGTTATTTAGGAAGAAATTTCCCAGTGTTATACACAAAGCCTGTCTGGCCTCATAATAAAGTATTCCAACAAAACACTGCACCCAATAAATGCATTTCTTTCAGGCAAAAATATTTAAGTGAAAATGTCCACAAAACCATTCATTCCTATTAACTGTTCTTCAATCTGGAATAAGTAGAAATGTATGGAACCAGGAATTTTAAACAGTGTTTTTAATTGAAAATAAAGCTAAAGCATGCTTTTCAACAGTGCAAATTTCCATAATTTTGATTTACTGCTTCCATCATAACAACACAGTACACCAGAGTGGCCCTTACCAAGGGCCAGACTCTACCCATTTGCATGTTGAACTACTTTGATTTTTAAGTGCAAATATAGATAGTCACCTCTGATTGTCACTTGCAGTAGAAACTCTCCTGCTCTACACACAGGATGGTCTGAAAACAGAAGTTTAGAGAGATGCATCAAAAGTATAAGATAATAAAATCCTGAGTTCTGTACCAAAAGCCCTGAAATAACTGTTATTTTCATTGGGGTATTACAACTCTGACCCTTCTTTTTCTTTTTCTTGGTTGTATCTACTCTGGAAACATAAAATATCCTGCTGTTAAAAGAAATATTTTAATTGTTTGGAAAGTTCAAAGTAGTCATGTTCAGACCACAAGATAAGCAGGACAATGCAAGAATCATCTTATTTAAAATGTTTGGGTGAGAACACAAAAAGGACTTTTCCAATTGCAAGGAGGGTCTGCAAAAGTAAAAAATCACATCCTTTACCCCCCTAAAAAAGAAAAAAATATGATTCCATATTCCTTTTACTTATCATATATGAGGCAGCTTCTTATCAGCATTCAGTAAGGATTCACACACCACTCTTTCCACTCAAAAACATAAAAAAGTTAAGTGCAACTACTCTTGGAGAGAGAATGAGGGGAGTGAAAAGAAAAAGATACCCCACAAACAAGAGCTCCAGGAAATTACATTTGGGGCTCACAGAGACTTGCTACCTCACTGTGTAACCATGAAACCTAACAAACTTGCACTGAATTAACAGCTACTCTTCAGGTCTGAAATCTAGTGCATAAACTTAATGGCTCATTGTAATATTTATTATTCAACCTTTTGACATTTATTTGTAGCAGTTGAATTGAGGTACCGGTGCATTATTTGCATTGAAACAGTAAAGTGTTCCAGCTCTGCCATCATAACTGAGTATTACTTGAGTAGCCTGTGGTCTGTAAACCAACCCTTCTCCCACCCCGCCCCCACCCTGCTCCAAAAAAAAAAAAAAAAAAAAAAAAGCCCGCAATGGAAAAAAAAAAAGTAATCCGATTTCTGTCTTCAAAATGGGATAAACCAGGACTCCAAAGGGGGTGTAACACCATTAATGGACTCGTACAAACCATCCTGTGCAGTTTACAACAAAAGGAAGGTAATATGGTTCAAGAAAATATCTTCCAAAACATTTTTATGAATTAAATTTCCTGAATTTGTGACTAGGTGGAAGAGGTATTGCAGAACCGCCCAGCTGCCATTTCCATATAGGATGGGCCTTGTGAGGTTGGGAATCCTTAGTAGTGTTTAAGGAATATGCCGGCCACAAATCCCCATCCTTCCCAATAATGAGCGATGGTGGACAAGGAAAATTTGCCATGAAATTAAATGGCCTTTTCACTGCTGATGCTACATTGCTGGCTACCTTTTTGCGTCTGTTTATAACTGTAAAGTCATCCAGTGTTCCTTCATGTGTCTCAGCTTTACCTGTAGGACGAGGGCTTCTAGCTGATTTCAAATTTGGTTTGACTGGAGGTGTCTGAAGGACAGGTCGTTTTCCCAGTACTAATGTCCGGTAATTTTTTCTCACCCTGGCACCAAATTTATATTCCCCATCCTCAGGTTTTGGAGAACCTAAAGTGCAGGAAAGGCCCTGACTCTGAGCCAGTGGGTTTAAGGAAGGAGGTTCTTTCTCAGGGCATACAAACCCTTCCTTTGCTGTGGTTAACAAGGCGTCCTCCTCTTTATTTTCAGTCACATTGTAAAACTCACCCTTTGTATCATTGCACTCGCACTTTAGCTTATTTGTAATAAGGTCAGGTTCATATTCTTCATTAGCACTATTGTCTTCTACTTTGATTTTAATATTGTGCAGAAATGGCAATGCCTTGTCGCCTGTGTCAGTGCAGGGATTCTCGACTTTAGCTGCTGCTGCTGAATCCACTTCGGGATCAGTTTGTGAGGAGGGCAAATCTGTAGCAAATTCTGGACAATGAGGGATTTTGGAATCTTTTTCGGAATGTTCTGCTGCTCCCAAAGCCTCATTATTGAAGAACCTAGTAGCTATTGTGTTGTTATCTACACAGTGTGTAGCAGGAGTTGCTTGTAGGCATTTCCTAGCCTCTCGGAATATTCTTTGTTGTGGAAATGCATTGTTTGTCTTTGGGCTAGGTGAAGAGGCCCCCTCTGCCAAGCAGTTAATCGTCAGGTCAGTTCTCTTTACAGTACTGGAAATTTCAGAGTGTGGGAATGTAATCTCAGATACCCTATCGTTCCTTATCTCTGGGAAACAACTGCCCAGGCCGGCCGGGCAGTACACCGGAGACGCTTTGGGGGCCCAGCTCTGCAGATTCCACTCCTCGGGGGACTCCGCTTTGACACTGCTCTTGAGGTCGGGAAGTCTGCCGGCATCCTCGAAAGCAGCGGGTTTGGTTGCAGCGGCGGCAGAGGCCAGATGGTACAAGAAGTTGGCCTGCGCCTGCACGCTGGGCGGCTCGCAGAAGCTGGTGCGCCTGAAACGGATGCTCTGCACTGACACTTGACTGGAGCCGGAGCTGGAGTCCGACTCAGTGGACGAGTCCTCCTCCTCCTCTTCCTCCTCCTCTGAGCTGACTTCACTGGAATCCGAGGCCCCACTGCCCCCCTCTTCCTCCTCCTCCTCATCCTCCTCCTCCTCTCCTTCCTCTTCCTCCGAGGACATGGAATTGCTTGAACTGGACAAACTGGAGCCAAAATCCGAGTCGTTGGCTGCATGATCCGAGTAGGAGCTGGACTCGGAGTCGCTGCTGCAACTCTCGGGAAAGCTGCCGAGATGGGGCTGCGGCCGGTGGTGGTGAGGGGGGTGGTGGTGATTCGGCTGCTGCTGCTGCTGCTGGGCACGGTGGTGGTGATGGTGGTGGTGGTGATGGTGGTGGTGGTGGTGGTGGGGAGGCGTGCAGAATCCGTTGACCAGATGTA